TCCCATTTGTTGATTGTTTGTGCTAGTTCACGGGCAACTGAGGTTTTGTTCATAAAGCCTTTTCCTACACCGATGTCTTCAAGGGTTCCTCTGTCACTTCTTCTAACACGGCCATCTCTCTCTGCCTTCCCTTGCCGAGGGCCAGACTTTGGCCAGGTCTCTAGGATGTCTGCTGGTGTGGCAGCCCCAGCAGCCCCAGTGCCTCTGGGTGACTTGACACATGCCACAGGGGTAGGACTTGGTTTCCTTGGTGGCTTCCTGGAGGGCCTGGACAATCAACCTGGAAGTCTAGGGGGTCACACCATTCCAGTGGATGAGCTGTGTGAGTGACGCAGAGGAGCCAGGATGGAACTAACAAATCAGTGAGTCACTCTGTGCTCCACCCTGCCCCGGACCCTGTGTGACTGTCTGTGCCAATCCTGGCTGCTGTAACAAAACACCATAGATCAAGTGGCTTCTAAACAGCAGACATTTCCTTCTTTCAGTATTGGCAGCTGGGGAGTCTGAGATCAAGCACTGGCAGATCTGGTTTGTGTGTGTGTGTGTGTGTGTGTGTGTGTGTGTGTGTGTGTGTGTGTGATCTTCCTGCTTCCTAGTGGCTCTCTCCTCCCGGTTTCCTCTCTTGACAGAAGAGAATGTTCCCTCTATGGCCTCTTTTACAAGCACACTAACTTTATTCACAATGGCTCCATCCTCCTGAACCTATCACCTCCCTAAAGCCCCAGCTCCCAATACCATAGCCTTAAGGGTCAGGGTTTCAATGCATGAACTCTAGGGGGTACACACATTGAGACAGCAGCACGATCTTTCTGAAGACTTTCTCGTAACTGAGCAACTGGTGGTGCTATTTTGCAAAGCTGGGTAACATATCCCTTCTATACATAGTCATGCCTGGGTGTATACTCTTGGTTAATTTCTTCTGGAACGAGAGACTGGGGACAAAATCAAGGAGTACCGAACCAGTTTTTCCCATAAGAAATAATGTAATTATCCCAGAGCCTTCCCATTTTACTGGGCTAATTTTAGCCTTTTGCTGGGCTAATGCAAGCCCTTTAGGCTTAGTGGTATCACTCTTAACCTTTGTGTGGCCCATGATGACCACTTAAAAGGCACATAGTATAAGACAGCAAGGAGGGGCAGGCGGGCCTGCACTGTTCCAGAGCCACCGTGACACTGACACCAGCACCAAGTGGTGAAACATTTTTATTCTCATGAAAATGTGACGGGCACCTGGCTTGATGAGTTCCGAAGCCGATGAGAACCGAGGTAGAGCTGTATCTCCAACCTTCTCCCTCTGTGAGGCCCCATAATTGTATCACCATAAATGCTTCAGGGCCTGTGTTCCCAGGAACCTGAAGCAAGACCGCATGTGAGAGCTCTTGTGTACATTTAAATGATATTTTGTGTTTGAGTGCTGTGTTTAGCATCCAAATATGCATGAAATACCAACATTGCCGTGTAACTGGATGAATGCATGTGCGGACACATAAACAAATGTGGGGAACATCTAGAGAGGTGGTCAGGGCTGTGGGGTCGATGCATGTTGAAAGGAATGCCTTAGTTGGATGTGGTGGTACATGCCTGTAATCCTAGCACTCTCTGGGAGGCTGAGGCAGGAGGACTGTGAGTTTGAGCCCAGCCTGGGCAACTTAGTGACCTGTTGAAACTCTGTCTCAAAATACAAATTAAGAAGGGCTAGGGATGTAGTTTAGTACAAAGGCCTTGGGTTTAACCCCAGCCCTACAAAAACAAAAACTGAGAAAGAAACAAAAGAAACCTTCAAGGGCCCAAATAAACAAAACAAAACAAAATAAAACCCACAAAAAACAGGTGCATTTGTCCTCTATTGCTGCATTACAAATGACCACACAATGTTGTGCCTGAAAACAGCAAATATTTATGACTTCACAGTTTCTAGGTGGGTCAGGAACCTGGGAGAAACTTCAGCTGGTGATTCTGGCTCAGGAGGCTACGGTCATGGTAGGGATGGGGTAGGGGTTGGGAGGAAGCTGGAGGCCCAGTTTGAGGGGCTGGCACTGCTTTTAGGATCAGTCTGCTGTGTGGGCACCCACAGGTTACTGCAAGGCTGTCTCATGACATGGTGGTGGCTTCTCTCTAGGGACAGCAAGAGAAAGCCCCTAAGGGAAGCTGTAGCTTTTGTATAACTGCGTCTTGGAAGTGGCATACTGTCATTTCTGCCAAATTCTATTCTCTCTCTCTTTGAGACAGAGTCTTGCTATGTAGTGGAAGCTGGCTTTGAACTCATTATGTAACCCAGGCTGGACTTGAGCTCAAGGCAATTCTCCTGCCTCAGCCTCCCCAGTGCTGGGACTATAGGCATGCACCACCATGCCGGACACCAAATTCTGTTCTTTAGAAGTGAGTCAGTAAAACCTGCCTACACTCGGGGGAGGTGATCACACAGGGTGTGAACACAGGGGTTATTTTTGAGGCTACCCACTCAGTCCCCACATGTTTTATCCCACAATACCCTTGCATCGGTTCCAGCAATTACTCAGCTAAAGCAGAATGATTTCTGCTATTTTTGTTTTTGGTAGTGCAGGATCTGAATAACCCCATTCTCCCAGCTTTGTTGGTGGTGGGACTTTGCTTAGTGCTGGGACAAGTGTGGCATTCACATGGACACACAGGTGGCTGGACTCTGGGAACAGCATGGAGACAGGTCACCCGGGAGCCTCCTGAGGGGGAGACTATGGCTGGAGAAATGAGCACGGGGCTTTTGCAAAGAGGCAGAGGAGGACTTAGCACAGCACCGGTCATTACACATGACCTGCTGTGTGTGAGGTATGTCTGGGTTGTGGGCTGAGGGAGACGGGGTCCTTATCCTCCGCCTGGAATTAATCCATAAGTACCCATTGTTGTAGAGTTACCAAGGCTACAAGCGGACATTTGGGAACCATCATGTGCATCCCAGAGCCACGAGTGAGTGTCTCTCATCGGCATCAGCCAGGAGGAAGGCAGAGCAAACTTGTCTTCTTTGATCACCAGGCTGGGCTGGTTGCAGTCTGCATCCAGGTCCTCCTATAGCCCCCCCCCCTCCCACTCCCAGAGGCACTCGGGAGTAGTGTTGTTTGTTCATTTAAATTAGACCTGATTGTTTTGAGCAGTTTTAGAGTCACAGAAAAAGAGGCAGGGACAGATTTCCTATATATCTCCACCCCACTCCCTGTTTCTGATCGTACCTTTCTTGTGTGGGACGGGTACTGGGCTGGGAGACAGAACCCAGGACCTTCACCCTGAGCTGCATACCCAGCCCTTTTTATTTTTTATTTTGAGACACTAAGTTACTAAGTGGTCCAGGCTGGGGTGGAGCTTGAGATCCTCCTGCCTTGGCCTCTCAGAGGGCTGTGATTACAGGCCTGGGCCACCATGCCTGGTTCAGCAGCAGCTTTAAAAACATTTGTTTTGGAGCAAAGAAGAGGCTGGGGAAGCAGGGGGAGCCATGGTCCTGTGGCTTCTAGAGGCACCCAGATGAGATTCTCAGTCTCATGAAGACCATGCTAAGTGACACTGTCATGGGAGTGGAGTCCTCACCTGCTAGTGGACCAGGCCCAGGACCATGCAGCAGTAGCTTTGACCCTGCTTCATCTCATCCATTTGCTTTTCTGTTCCATTTACTTATTTATTTTGGTTTGTATGATTCTTTTGAGACAGGGTCTCGCTATGTAGTTCAGGCTGGAGTTGAATTCACTATGTAGCCCAGACTGGTCTCAAACTCTGGCTCAGCCTCCTGAGTGAGGGGATTACAGGTGTGTGCCACCATGTCTGTTCCATTTATAATGCGCGGAAATGTTTATCTGGTTTTTGAGTCAAGCCATACATTTAAATGCATTTAATTAATTGATTGATTTATTTATTGTTATCTACTCGCTATAGTCAGTGAGAATTATGTCCCTGACTGTGCCATCCTGACTACAACTCTTTTTGAGGTTGTCTTGGGGGCCAAATTTATTTCCTTTTGGGTGTGAAACCTCAAAAACCTCTGATCCCAAGAGTTGAGTCTTATAAAAGACTTTCTTTCTGATGCTTGGGACCAAAGCCAGGGCCTAACACACACTAGGTAAGCGCTCTACCTCTGTGCTGTATCCCCAGCCCAAGGCTGGACTTTTTATTTAGGTAAGACCAGAGGGAAGTAGTGTTTTTTAAAATTAATTTTATTGGTACACTTAAGGTATACAATATAATGACATTCATCATTGGAAATTTGCACCTTTACATAATCTCTTTTGGTTCTTATTTTTTCCCCCTTCCCCTGCCCTCCCTTCAGGAACTGGTCTTTAAGGGGGAGGAAAAATTGATTCTTGATTGTGAAATAAAAATAATATCTTGTTGCACTTGGATTTCAATGAAGTAATAGATGTAGAAGAGCCTGGTAAACTGTCAAGTGCCTGCGAATTGTAGCTGTCACTAAAGAAGGGTCATCGACAGGGAGGAATCACTTTGCATGGATGTGGCTGGTGGAAACCTCTTGGGCTCACTCTAATTTATTAAAGCAAAGTGCAGCAAGCAGAAGCCTAGGTTTAAAAGATGCGTATTTACTCCTCCTTCATCTCTGCCCTCAGGCTCTGGTGCTGTAACCAGATACAGACCTGAGGCCATGCCAGAATGAAGAGAAAAACATCTGGCCAATCTCATCAATCCAATCAAAGCATCCTTTCATACTGGTCCAAGGATTTGGAGCTCAGACCTCCAGGTAAATGACTGCAAATTTTCTGATTCAACTGAGAAGATGGTGAGGGTTGTGTGAACCCTAATTAAAATATCAAGGGTCAGGCAGCAAATGGGAAATCTAACTGCGCTTGAGCTAGGCTAAGGGTGGAGGCTGGGGTGTCTGAGGTAGAACTGTAAGAGGATCATCCAGTTCCATTCTTCTGGGCATTAGTCGGGGAGCTCCTGTGTGTCCCTGTCCTCTGATTTCCGAGCTCCGTTTTGCTGTCATGGTGATGGATGACTTCTGAGGGAAGCCCCCGTCTTAATGCATCCATTCTTCCTTCTCCAGGGAGCTGCTTTTCCTGTGCTTCCCCCTGGATGGCTCCATTTGGGTCAAAGCACAGGCCCACACCACTCTGGGGGCCCTCAGCCTCTCAAGAGTCCACCAACCACTTCCCTTTTGCAGAATCACTTTATGGACCAAGACTTGAAACAGGCTCAGGGGTCCCCACAACAGGAAGAAACTCAGGAAGCAAGCTGGCATCATTAGGGGAAGGATGAGGGAGGAGGGGGAAATGAGGAGAGCTCCCCTTTGCATGTTATCCATAATTCATGCAAAATACCCAGAACAGTGTCAGGCACACAGCAAACACTCAAGGTACATTAGCTGTCATGGTGATTATCATCATCAATGGCATCTGAATTTCTCATGGTAATGTATTACTTTTCCCTTTGTGACTTCTGAAATCTATGGGGTAACATTGGGTTTACCCCATTTCATGGGGTTCCTTCATTTTATGGCATTGAAATGAAGTTGATGGTCAGTAAAACTTTTCTTCTACAACTTTCTCTTCTAGGTTTCTCTGTCTCTTCCATGTGCCTAGCGGAAAGTTGATGTGGATTCGGTCTGTGGACTGAGGAAAGAACCTTCATTCCTTTGGACATACCATTGAGCACCTTACTCAGAAGTGGTTCTTAGGTAAGAGCACTTGTATGCCCAGGAAATGGCAGCATGGTCACTTGTGGGACCACATAGCAGGCAGTGAGGGGCTGTGTGTTTGAAAAGACATCTGTCATTTTCTTTCTTTTTCTTGGTACTGGGGATCAAACTTGGGACCTTGGGCTTGCAAGGCAGGCACCAGAACCACTGAGTTAATTCCCCACTCAACTGTCATTTTCTTATCCCCAGAAAGTCCAGGGCTGAGCAAGTCCATCTGGATGTCACCATGAGTGTTGATAACTGTACCCTGAATTACATCTGTACCCACCACCCTCCTCCTCTAACTGCACCCATCCCCAGGATGGGCCCTGTATTTCCCTGGAGACCTCACAGTGGGTGAATAAGATACTGACGCTTCCTTCTGACCCTCTCAGATCTGTGTCCTGCCTGAGGACTCATGCTTCATGGCTTTTATACTGATGTTCACCTTTCCAGTTCAGGAAGTTCTTCACAGACAGCAGCACCACACTGTCACCCAGAGTTTTGTCTGCTTATCTCCTGCAGTGACTCATTTGCCCAGTGTTTGTCCTGGGATCTGATGAGCCTCTATCCTGTGAGCAGTGTGTCACATAGCGTCACATCCTCCCTATGAAATAGGTACTGGAATGAGTCCATTCTCTTGGTGAGGAAGTGGCATCACAGGAGCTGTTTTTGTTGGTAGCAGACACATTGGGTGATTGTGTGAACTCTCCCCACCCCCCTTTAATGATGAAGACTGGAAAAGCTAAATACCTTCCTTCCTTCCTTCTTTACTCCTTTGCAGCTAGAAATGGTCATCTGACAGTATTGGCCAATGAGATCTAATTGGAAATCTCTGGCTGAAGGCTGTGTGCCACGTAGTGTGGCAGAAGGAGAGGCTCAGTGGGCAAATTTGCTTTCCTCACAAGACTGAGTTTTGTTTATTTATTTGAGTTTTAGGGGTAGGGTCTCACTATGTACTCCTGGCTGGTCTTGAACTAGCTATGTAGCCCAGAATGGCCTCAATCAAACTGATCTTCCTTCTTCAGCCTCCCAAGTGCTGGGATTAAGCTAACCAGGCTTTGAGAGAGTTGACAAATCTGGAACAGCTCCTTGCTATGAGCTGTCCGCCACTGTGGTGCTGATCTACAAGTTGTGCGGGAGCTGTCCCCTCTGTAAGTCATGGCAGATTCCTGCTGCTGACTCCAAGGCAGCAGCGAGGAGAGGCCAAGGTGTGTGTATGTCTGTGATTTTACCCTTCCAGTGAGAGTCATCCCCACACCTGGGTAAGCTCACGGTCCTTGCACTTTCAAAATAATCTTCACTAGAAGAAACACCAGTGTTGGGCCAGGATTTAGCTCAGTGGCACCATGCCTACCTTGGAAGCACAAGGTCCTGAGTTCAATCCCCAGCACCACAAAAACAAAAACAAAAAAACCAAAAAACAAAAAATACAGCAGTGTCTGGAAGTGAGGGGGTCGGGGTTTTCATAGAGGTCTGGAGTCAGGGGTAAAAGAGCCTGAAATAATTTCCCAGCCCCTTTGGTCCTGGGGGAGCACTCACCTGGGAACTGTGGGATACAAAATGGCATTCTCATTCCAAAAATGAGCATCTGAAATGAACAGACATTTTTCAGACAAAGAAGTAGAAATAGCAAATAAACATATGAAAAAATGTTCAACATCACTGGTCATTCAAGAGATGCAAATGAAAACAATGCCGAGATTCTACCTCACCCCAGAAAGAATGGCTGCTATCATGAAATCAACCAGTAACAAATGCTGGTGGGGCTGTGGGGAAAGGGGAACCCTGCTCCACTGCTGGTGGAAGTGTAGACTGGTGCAAGCACTGTGGAAATCAGTGTGGAGATACCTCAAACAACTAGGATTGGAGGTTCCATTTGACCCCGCTATTCCACTGCTGGGGATCTTCCCCAAAGAATTAAAAGAATCAGACCACAGTGATATATGTGCACCCATGTTCACAGCAGCACAGTTTGTGATAGCTAAAACTTGGAAGCAGCACAATTGCCCATCAACTGGAGACTGGATAAAGAAAATGTGTTTTTTTTTAATAAAATGGAGTACCACTCAGTCATAAAAAATGAGAAATTAGCGATATTTTTAGCTAAATGGATGCACATTGAGGCGATACTCTTCAGTGAAATAAATAGGATACACATGTATAAATACTGAATAGTTTCTCTGGTGTGAGAAACAGAAAGTGTAAATAAGGACTAAAATGTATAATAGGTAATGTGAAATAGGAAGAAAAGGGGCAAAGGGGAAGGGGAAGTGGGAGGGGTAGGGGAAAGGAAAGAAGGGAATGGAATTAATATGAGAAAATGAAAAAATGGAAACAAAGTCTTTGTAAATAGGGAGGGATGGAGGGATTGAAGCGAGGGCAGGGGAAGGGAGAAAAAAATAAGCAAGAGAGATTATGTAAAGGTGCAAATTTCCAAAGATGAATGTCATTATATTGTATACCTAAAATGTACCAATAAAAAAAAATTTAAAAAACCAAAATGGGGTCTGTGGAGACAAACTGGCTGGGTTGGTGCTGATTTTCAGCTAGAGTGGGACTGAGACTTACCATTGCTCCTTCCCTGACGCATCTCAAGAAGTGTGCCACCAGTGGCCTTGGTTTGCAACATAGGCTTCCGAGGGCACTTCCAGACCCCAGGGACAGCCTCCAAACCTTGGTTTATTTTCTGAGCCTCCGATGATCAGAATTGTCACCTTTTTTGCTGATTTGTCTTGTCACAACCTTACCAGACAGGATAAAGTCCATTTCTATTCCTTATTTCCTATTTCTCAGTAAATGCACAGTCCTAAGTATTTTATTTATTTATTTTTTTTGCTGATAGTAACTACTGAGAAGCTGACATGGGTAAAACAAAAACAAAAAACAAACACCGGCCAGTTGCTAAGCTACATGGACTCTTAAAAGCTTTTGAGAAATAGCTGGTACTGATCTTAGTTGAAATCTAAATGGAGCTTTTAAAAAACTCTATTTAACCCCTTTCTGACCCTTTCCCTGGCCCATCCATTGTGTTCTTTTTTATCCCTTGATTTCTTTTCTGATTTTCTGGCCTGGTGCTGGGGTATTTCTCATCCTTCTAAGACCCCCAGCCTCTCTCTTCCATGGGAACTGGCAGGGAGAGGGGAACAGGTGCAGCAGTAGCATGGTGCAGAAGACAGGCCAGACTGAGGAGGGTCCACCTACCCCTGCGAGGGTCCTGTCCCCATGCCTCACATTGCTCAGAAGTTCCCTTGGGAAATGCCTCTACTTGCCTAACCTTGGAAGGAGCCCATTACAAGGTCTGATAGCCCTGGATCAAATGTGTTATTTTATAATGCTCAACTTACTTCATTTGAGCCTTGCTTCCTTACCTTTAGACTGTCTTTGACCTGCAGGACTATTTCTTAGCCTTTCTCCTTATCCTTCCACTCCATGCAAACCCCTCATAAAGACAAAGGAGCAGTTCTCAAGCTCCCATTGCAACATTATTAGGGACTCAATAAATATTTGTTGAACAAATGAATACTTTCCTTCTTACTCAGCCTTGGGCTATAGGAAGGGTACATTCTGCTCTCTAGAAAGTTAAATCACAGAGGAGGACACTATCCTAGATGGCCATTGGGAAGGATAACTTTCTTGTGCCCAGGTCCTAGCCCTGGACCCTTACTTAGAGTCCCCACACCAGGCAATGGCTGGATAGATATTTTTATTTTATTTATTTTTATTTGTGCTGAGACCCAGAGAAAATCCTTCCTTTCCAAATTACCTAATAGTCCCCACCTTTCCAGTCTCACTTTAGACTCCATCTTTCCTGTGAAGGCATCCCAAGAGATTGAACACAGCAGTCTGTCTCCTTTTGGTGCTCAGTAAAGATGTGCAAGATCATTTGACTAACACTAAATTACTTGCATCTTCCACTGTTGCCAACCAGCTAGTTAAGAACTCACAGATGCCCTACAGGTAATTGAGTTAGCAGTATTGAGGAACACTCTCAATTGAGTATCGGCACTAGAAATCCCGAGGTTTATGAGTGAAGGAGGACTTAGTTGTGATGTAAGTATGAACTCCCACCCTCTGTGGTCCCTCACCTTCTCTTTTGCCCACCTCCTGGGTACTGCCCACTAACCCATCTGCTGTCTCTGCTCCAGCTCCCCCGGCTTCAGTTGACCCCTGGGTCTCATACACTCTTCCCGTCATAGGTAATGTGTCCTTTTCTCTGTTTGCCTACCCACTTTCCCCAAGAGCAGGACTATTTCCTTTTGAGGCTGGGCTCCTCAACTGCTGGGCCCAGTTCTGTGGCACACAGACAAGTTGCACTTTGCCAGATATCTTTGGGGTGATCTCCCCAGCCCAGTCAGTTTGGAAACTTCAGCTTTGTATCTAGATTTAACAAAAGCTTCATTAGTAGGTGATTATCCACTCTACAAAGGATTCCTTTAAATAGCAAATTCCCAGAATGGGCTTAAAATAGGTTTAATTTAACCCGAGTCCAATTTGTGCACCCTGTTCAATAACACACTGATTGTTAAAGATGAGGTACACTTCTACTTATTTATAGACTAATTGCTTGTGAGTGCTTTTAAATCCCCCACTTCTTACCTAGTAGGCCACACTCCCTCTTTCAAATTCTTCCAAATTTACTCCAGGGAGACAGTTATTTGTTTATCGATGAAAAGGGATGCCTCTGGGGCTGACCCAAGCTCAAAGGGGATTCTTCTCCACCAGAGCCTGTCCCAAGATACCAAGATACACAGCCTCTTCCATTCCAGCTCTCTTCTCAGATCTCTCCACCCTCCCTCCATGCAATCAGCAATTGCAAAATCCTTAGCTGATTGTAGCTGGGTCTCTGGGTCCTCACACCAGGGCAGTGTCCACTCCTGCCGTGGTTTTTGATGTAATAGAGGGAAAAAACTGTGGTCTCATGTCTGGTATTTATTATCAGGACAAGCAAAGGGACCTCTCTTCTTTTGAGCTGAACCTGAGCAGCAATTCCACAATAGATATTGTATTAGTCTTGTTTTCTGTTACTATAGCAAAATAGCCAAGCCTGGGTACTTTAGGGAGAAAGAGGTTTATTTAGCTCACTGTTCTGTTCAGGAGGTGGAAGGTCTGCACAGCATTTCACTGGCTCTTGGGAAGTCCCCAGTGGTATTGCATCAGGGTGAGTGGCACATGGTGGGGCACTATGGGAGTGACAGTTCACATGGCGAGACAGGAGACTGGGGAGGGGTCACTCTGGCACTTTTATAGCAACCTCTTCCCAAGAACTACATTTTTTTCTGAGGGCAGTGCCCATAATTACTTTCCACTAAACCTCATCTCTTAAAGGGCTGCCACCACGCCTCACATCATCCTGCTGGAGGCCGAGATTCCAACATCCGAACCCTTGAGGGACACACTCAGAAGATATGCAAACCAGAGTGGGTGTCATGGCATATTCTAGTGCACGTGACATGTGGTCCTCATGCTACAGCCATGTCAATAGGATTCCAGTTAATCTGGTAGAAAGTGAAGTCAATAGAAAGAGAAAATTCTGCTCACCTGTACAGCCTTGCTTGAATGCTGCTGTTATCGATGAGATCTTTGGAGGACCGTCTGTTCCTGGAGTCGGCTAGCCAGAGGTGATTATTAAAGTGCTGTTTGAAGAGACGGTTTATCAATTTATTCCTATCATGTCATAACTGGTTTTTCTAAAGAGCCACCTCTTCCTCATGAAACTGTCTCCTCTTTAACTGTATATCTGAAACTTGAAT